AGCTCAAAAGCCATGAAGGGGGTTTGTTGTTGGGTCAACCCTCCTACCTGGGTGAGTTGCTGCAGAGGCACAACGTCGTGGACAAGAAGACGGTTCCGCTCCTGACCTGTCCTATGCCATCAGTGCTATGGGGAAAGAGGTCACAAAACGGCCGCGGTGGGTGCTCCAGGTGGGACAACATGTTCTGGAGTACCTGAATGGCACAATGGACTACTTCCTGCACTATGTCCCCTGTGAACCTGGTGATCGTGGACCTCATGGTGATCTTCCTTTGGAGCGCTCTACATCGTTGGTGGAGCTCTACAGTGACATCTCATATGCCCCGCAAGGGGAAAAAAGTGTACAAGGCATTGTGGCGATGGTGGCAGGCGCCACTCTGCAATGGGAAACGTCCAGGCAATCGTGCCTGGCATTGTCGACGGCGGAAGCTGAACTGTACTCCTATGTGGAGGCCTTAACTATGGGGGATTCGCTGCAGGCGCTGTGGACGGAGGTGCATGGAGAGACGCCGGAGATCGTCACCTATGGCGACAGTCAGGCTGCCATCTCCATCGTGCGCAATCCTGATGGTCCATGGCGCACCAGACATCTTCGACTCCGAGCTAACGTGCTTCGAGAACGAGCTCAACAGGGGCGATGGAAGATCTTCCACATGGCGGGCACGCAGCTGATCGCCGACTACCTGACCAAGAGCATCACGGTTCGAGCTTCCTGGGACCGCTTCCGGGCGTTCACCAACCTCCTGAAGGTCGAGAACCAGGGGTGGCTGCTGAAGATGGGGAGGGTTCGCAGGCTGCGGCGGAATCCATGGTGCGGGCGGCGAAGCTTGCTGCGTGTTTGGCTGGGTGCGCGGCTATGACCTGGCCTTCATACACTGCAAAGGCGGCGGTGGCAGCGGCGCTTGCGATTGGGCTGGCCTATGAAGTGAGCCGGGGTTTTAGCAGGGGTTTTTGGACGAGGAGCCAAGATCCGGGGGAGTGTTCAACCACGTCAGATAGGGAAATTCAACAAGAATTGAGATCTACTGAACACTCCACCCGGTTGCAACCTCGTTTGTGTGCCCTGCGGCCTTCGCCGGCAAGGGAAGAACAGGACCAACAAGGGTCAGAACAACGGACCAGTCAAGAAAACATAAGAAATGTTCAAGAGGCCAGAAACTCATCGTCGGGCCGCACGCCACCTCCTGGGGAACGTGTCTCGGAAACTGAAGGCCCTGGGGGTTTCAACCGTAGCCTAGAGGCTCCCAACTCCACTGTGTTCGAGGTGGAGGCGGCGAACGCGAGCCATGGCGTGGGGACGCATCCAGATGAGGCTGCCTGCTGTCTTCCGAGGTGGTCGTGAAAATCTTGGAGGAGATCAAGGGCAGCCGGAAGAGGTGCACTACACCAACTCCAGGGTGACGCAGGAGGCCATGGACGCGGGCATCTATGACGTGACAAGACCGCCGATGGTGGTCACCAGTGAGGGCATTCGGACGCTGCGTCCGGAAGAGGTGGATATGGAGACCCAGACGATTCGCCTCATCCCAAATGAACGGCTGATGGTGAAGTCTCCGCCGCCGGCTAAGCGGCCTCCGGTGCCACCTCCCAAACAACCTCCTGTACCCTTTCAACCGCGTGGTTATGGGGGGGCTACATCGAGTGGTTCTTCAAGGCCAAGTGAAGCTGCTGAGCGAGGACAGGCGGCGATGGCATCTTCGAAAGCGATGGGGACCGCTATGGGGCACACTTCAAAGTCTGCGGGAACCATTCTCCAAGGAGTTTCCAAGTCGGCAGCCGCGGCGAGGAGTTCGAGCTCTACGGGACCTCCTACGCTGGAGCGAATGCAGCAGCCGGCGGCCGACAGGCCGTGGAACAGACCTGGTAAGGCTCCACCGGCGCAAATTCTGATGCCGGTTGGGGGCTTGATGGATGATCAATTGGAGTTCCAAAACTCGGTGTTTTGGACGCCGGAGATCTTGAACCATGTGCAGGATCTCTTGGAGGAAGAAGCGTTGTTCTACAAGCCAACGCTCAAGAGCGAAAGGTGGGATCACCTGACTATGGATGGCTGCAGGTGGCTGGTCCGCTACCATGGAGGTGCTCGTGTACAATCCCGAGCACCGCAGCTGTCCGGAAGAGATCGAGAACCTCGAGTTCATGAGGATCACCATCGCATGGAAGGGCACCGAATGGCATCGACGTGTCATCGTGGACAGCGACTGGCGCCGAGCTGAGTTGAGTGGCCCCGGATCGTGGGTCGGATTTTCGCTGTTTTTGATCCGAAACGGATCGCGGCAGATGTGAGCGACCAACAGTGGTCGGGGGGGAGTGCGGATCTTGAAACAGAACGCACAAAACGAGAAGTGTACAACTAGGTACACAAGACCACAGGCTTAACTGCCTTTGTGTTTGGCTCAAGAAAACAGGACCGCTTTTCGTGAAGCATGGTCTCGAGCTGGCACGGGAAGAAATTGCCGAATCTTCCCCTGTTAATTACAAAACGATATCGAACCACCTGAAAGCCTCAAAGACACAATAAAGATCCATAAAGGGCTTTTTTATCTTTCTTTATCTATCTGACTTGCTGCCGCATTCCTCCAACAGCAGGCTTTTGCCCTTTGCTAAACGATCCTCATCCACTGAACTCGGGGGTCCAAACACCTCAAAACAATGGAGAAAAAAGGCACAAAGAACTGGAGACCTTCCAGATCTCACCCCTTCCACTGCCAGGTTGACCCGAGACGCGCCCCAGTTCAGCCTCATCTCCCTGCTCGGAGCGTAGACCTGGGTGGGGCCACCAATGAGGTCGTCAAATACCGCGAGAGATAAAGAATGTGATCAGACGGTTTTGGCCAAGAACTCTAAGCCAATAGCAAGGGCCTTCAACCTACACGCATTTGGGTAGGGACCATATTTTCCATTCTATTTTGCACATGACGCTTTTGTTGGCGCATGGTCTAATCTCTGGCAAAGCGCAAGCATGACAATGCATGTGCATGTGAAATTGACCCCTTGCAGTATGCACAACACGGTGGAGTTGTTCCCTCAATTAGAACGCCTTGAGCGGCTGGTTGACGTATGAGGTTGGACGCCATCGCTAGTAGGTTCGAGTTCGATCCTGCAAATGCTCCTACCACCGATGTACCACTCCAAATCCGCTCCCAGTGGCTTCTTGTTCCTAGTAGTACAGCCAGGAGCCTCTAGTAGCTTCTTGCTCCAATCGTAGCGATGCCATACTCTGTCTTTCATTCACAGTTTCGCAAACTGTTGCGCGCCACGCATCGATCATGGTTGGTCAGTGACTCGGTCAGGCATGGTCATGGACACCACGTGTCACCAATTGTTGACATGTGACAAGGGACTGTTGGTCAGTTCCAATAATTGTTTGGTTTGGTCTATCTATACTTGAGGCCGAGAGTTGGGGACGAAAGCTAGCAGGGCGCGTCACGTTGATGCTGTTCACAGGTTGTACATCGGAGAAGGGACATGGGGGCCCACTACACACGTCCCAGAGACATCCCAGGGAGGAGTTGAACCCCCGGGGGGGGGCCCACCAAAATGTGAAAGTTTTCGCCCGATGCGGCACTCAACCTAGCTTTCGTGATAAGTCATAGAAACCTCAAGAGCTACTTTTTCGGCAATGACAGCAATGACCGCTGGGAGATCCCCAGTATACACACTCAACACTGCACCGAGCAAATCCACTGCCTACGGAGCAACCTGGAAACATACTTGGCGCTGGCGCTGAACCTCAGGCAGCCCGAGGCCAAAGAGTGATATGAGCAGCCAAACGACAC